TTTCACCTTTTCCCACAAGGTGATCGCGATGGACTTGGCATATGAAAGGAGAAACTTTTGCAGGTTCGGAAGTGGCAGAAATGTTATTGTGTGCCTTAAAGTGAGTTACCCGGTTAGTTGTGACAAACTTCCTTAAGGCAATATCAACAACGGTTTAAGCCAGCTTTTTGCGGTGAAACAAGTGAACGTCGAAGAAGTATTTACGGAATTTTGCTAACTTCTCGTGGATTTACAGTTGAAAGCTTCGAAATCAGATGGGACAGTGGCGGAGATGCGGATTGGGTATACGGTTACACTAGGCCCAGTGTAGAGATTTGGGCAAGAAGTTGGCCGTAGTTGAAAAATTATAAAAAAAAGTTACTACTTAATTGATTACTGATTTAGGTAATTATTAGTCGCAAGTAATTAATTGTCAAATTGATTTAATACGGACCCGAAATGATGAAAATAAACACTTCGTTCAGAAGAAAATCTCAGTGGGAAGAACAACAACACGGCCGCTGCGGCGGCTAAGTTGAAAAATAATCGCGGTCGCTTCCGTGCGGGCTTAAATTCTAGTTCTGTATATATTGACGGGTGTTGAACGGTTGCTTACAAAATTATCAGATGCAGATGTCTAATTATTTCAGCGCCGGCAAGGTGGAATTAAAAACCTCGGATTTTGGTAGCGGAGAAAAAGCTCACTGGGTTATGCCGATGGCAAGCCTTCCCTATGTGAGGGAGCTAAAGAACTAAACGGCAACAACAACACGGCCGCTAAGTTGAAAACAATTAAAAAACACTCGCGTTTGCGTTTTGTTGGCGATTGTTTTGCTCACTCTGAATATCTTAATTATATTATAGGACGTTAATCACTCGAATCAAAGTCAGAAAATATATTAGTCATAAGATGTGTATATGTGGCTGCACATTAAGGCTCGGCCGTTGGCAAGTGGATGGATAATGGGGAACCGAAAGAAACGGTGAGGATCCTGGCAGCGTACACAAAACGGACACGGTCGAATATGAAGAGAAATAGGAATTTCTCAACTGTCGTTGTGTCAGGAAAACTCGGATTTGGAGTTGACACGAACAAAAAATTACTATAACAGCAGTATGACCGAAATTTCATGTTCGGCCCACCGTTGAAGACCGGCAGCGAGAAAAAGACGGAAAAAAGCTTGTGCTTTAGCTTAAAAATCACCTGAAACTGCTGGTGAAAGGGCGAAAGGATATCCGTGTCCTGCTCGAAGAACCAAAATGTGTAGAGCCTTGGGGTGAAGCCAAAAATCCAACGTCGCGAAACGAAGAAAAACTCTCGGGGTAAGAAATGAAAAGTCGGGGCGTCGTAGGGTAATTTTAGCGTGTCAGCTTTATTTCGCTGCATAGATGGTACTAAACTAGCTTTAATATAAGGCCCGTGCTCCCGACCGATAAGCCCAACATAACAGGGCGGGAGCGGGTCCGAGAAGTGGGTCGTGAACTAGCCATCCCTCAGCTCGAAAACTCGTGAGCTGATGATCATGTAGTTTTGCTCAGCGGAAAGTGCGCGAAGGGCCGTTGCATACGGAAGCGAAAGAGCGGCCGAGCTATTGTAAGATGTTGCATGTTGTTTGCTTAACGCAACCAATATTATTTTGTATTTTGGTTATAAAATCAGAGCTGCGTACTTGACCCGGCAACCCCTTTGAGTTTTTCGTTCACTGTATTTAGTTGATCTTAGTATCATATAATGCGGAATCAAAAGGTTTTTCGTTCCCTTTCGTTTTGTTTTTATTATGGTCGTTGCCTCCAACTAAAATTTTCCTCCTTTGATAACTAGTCAAGGCTTATTCCGGAAAAATGAAAAAATGTACAAATATATGACGAAGATATGTAATAAATTGGGGAAATTATAATTTGTTATATTTATTTTCCTCTCTCTCTCCCCTCCCTTTACCTCTTTGAGTGACAAGTACCTACGTACATGGATAGATCCTCTTGGGTGATGCTGAGCAGTAATCTACCCTGTAGAAAAAAATTCATAAATAGAAAGAGAAAAGTGCAGAAGAAAATAAAAGTAAACGTGCCAAATATATTATAAGTAAATAGTGCAAATAATATATACTAAGCTAAAGATAAGGAACTATCAAATTTAAAATAAGAAACCGTACTCTCGATATTATTATCTACTATAAAAGTTAACACCTTGGTATGAGATACAGCGATATATTAAACAAGAAAGGAAGCTAACTTCGGCACGCCGAAGTTTACATACCCTTGCAGATAGAACTTCTATGAATAGGAATCCATACAATATAAATTATATATATTTGTGTTAAAAAAAACAATGAAGTAATACCTGCTTTCATTTCATTCACTTATACATATTATATTTGCAATTTTACATTCACTGATTTGCATTTTTCCTCCACATCAAACGATCGTTTGTATGGCACCTATATGATACAGTAGTCCGATTTTCATGAAATTTGACACAAAATTTAAGACTTATATAAAATGGCTATACCTCAAATTTGATGAAAATCAGCTGAAAACTGAAAAAGTTATAAATTTAATTGTATTAATTTCTCGATCGTTCCTATGGGAGCTATATGATATAGTTTTCCGATTTTCATAAAATTTTAAACAAAATTGAAGAGTATAGTAAAATGGCTATATCTCAAATTTGAGCCAATTCTATTGAAAACTGAAAAAGTAAAAAATTTTTTTGTAAAAATTTTTCGATCATTCCTATGGCAGCTATAGGATATAGTCGTCCGATCCGGCCCATTCCGACATATATGCGAGTGAGAGTATATAGAAGACTAACTACAAAGTTTCATTCAGATAGCTTCAAAACTGAGAGACTAGTTTGCGTAGAAACGGACAGCCGGACAGACGGACAGAAGGACAGACGGACAGACGGACATGGGTAGATCGGATCGGCTGTTGATCCTGATCAAGAATATATATACTTTATATAGTCGGAGGTGCCTCCTTCACTGCGTTGCAAACTTCTGACTGAAATTATAATACCCTGCAAGGGTATAAAAAGTCGAGAGTGCGGACGACCCAAGAGGCCTATAAGGATCAGCAATGCCCTTAGAGGAAGTCGACAACCCTTCTGAAGCACTAGGGGGAATCTAGATCAAAGAACGTGGAACGAAATATTCGGCTTTAGGAGGATATCGAATATGCTACAACATATATCATTTTTAGAATAGTTGATGACAATATATTGTCTTTCCCTGTACTAATAAGTCAAAGTTCAGTTAGATCAATCTAGATCAAAGAACGTTGAACGAAATATTCTGGTTTAGGAGGATCTCGAATATGCTTCAACATATATCATTTTTAGTATAGTTGATGACATTATAGTGCCATTCCCTGTACTAATAAGTCAAAGTTCAATTAATTCACATAAAAACATTAAAAAACATAAAAACAAAACAAAAACATTAAAAAATACATTTATCATTGTTTGTAACAATAGTTAAACATGTACTTGGCAAAGCATTGCACAGTTAAACTGTTATTTGTAGGATTTTTCTATATTTTCATAATTCTCCCCTTACAGATAGTTGCCCTTAGAATAATTGTAACATTGATTATAGAAGCTCCCTACGCTTTTAACTCTGAATTTAGTGATCTTGTTTATAATTATATACTATTGCCCTGAATTGAATAATTTTGTTTGTAATTATAAATTATTTTCTTCTTTTTAGTTCGGTTATTAATAAAAGGGTGTTTTTATACCCTTGCAGGGTATTTTAATTTCAGTCAGAAGTTTGCAACGCGGTGAAGGAGTCACCTCCGACCATATAAAGTATATATATTCTTGATCAGCATCAATAGCCGAGTCGATCTAGCCATGTCCGTCTGTCCTTCTGTCCGTCTGTCCGTTTCTACGCAAACTAGTCTCTCAGGTTTGAAGCTATCTGAATGAAACTTTGTAGTTAGTCTTCTATATACTCTCACTCGTATATATGTCGGAACGGGCCGGATCGGACGACTATGTCATATAGCTGCTATATGAATGATCGGAAAATTTTTACATAAAAAATTATAACATTATCAGTTTTCAACAGAATTTGATTAAATTTGAGATATTGCCATTTTATTATATTCTAAAATTTTGTGAAAATTTTATGAAAATCGGACAACTATATCATATAGCTCCCATAGGAACGATCGAGAAATTAATACAATTAAATATTATAACTTTTTCAGTTTTCAACAGATTTTCATCAAATTTGAGGTATAGCCATGGGATTTTTCGTGTTGTCTTTGGGCAATCAAGCTCTGCTTGTCCAGCAGGCATGCGCAGATCGCGCGCTATCTCTGTTTCTCTTACTCCTTTACGGACGCTTTATAAAAAAAGAATTTATCAATCCTGACGATCCTTGCATTGTCATTGGTCCTTGAGAAGTATGCAAAGTTTCAAGCTTATCAGATATTTGGAAACCCTTGCAAAATAGTGTTCGAAGATGCCGTTACATACATACTTACGTCCCGAACTAATAAAAGCGAATTAAAAACAAATATCAAGCTAGCAAAAACAATAAATGTCCTAAAGGGGTTGAAAGTTTTTGTCCCTCTCACACGCGATATGCAGATGTGTGTATATCGCCGACACAATTTTAGTTGTCTGCGTGGCGCGATGTGTAAGCAGCCGGACTGTTAAACATTAAGACGTAGGTTCAATCCCCAGTTGGTCATATAATATTCTAAAAAATATTTGTAAGTGTGGTTTAAAATAATTTACTACAATTTAAATGCAGCAAATAAAAGAAATTAGCTTGTAAAAAAATCGAAGATTCATAAAGTTTTTTGTAATAAAGGATTCGCATGAAAGTCGGCAGGAGTTTGGCTAAAAAGTGCGACTGGGCGTACACACGTTATTATTATCGACCGTGCACGATAGAGTTGGTACGGTCACTATTAAGAGAGCGCCAATTAGGGACCACGTTTAAGTTTAAATAAAGAAAATGAAACGTTTTAAATATTATTATTTATAAATACTTAACATTTCTTTGTAGGACCATGATTGATCATTATGAAGAAATGTTTAAAGTACCAGCAGAACTTCTAGACGTCCTTTATGCTCAAATGTTAGATGTATGTCCTGATAAGTTGAATGAACTAATTTCCACAAAAGCACAGCTATTGCAATGGTAAGTATATTTATTAAATTAATTAAAAAATATAATTAAATTTTATTATAATACATTTTGTCTTAATATAGTCAAGTTGTCAATCATTACAATATATTATTATATTATTTGCAGGGATCTACATCACCATTTAGACGATTTCCAAAATTTCAGTGAAGCTGCAAGTTTATCAGACGATGTCTTTGAAAATACTTCCAAAGAATGTGATCGGTTTGTATTATTGTTAATGATTACTATCTGAACACTAATAAGATAACAATATGTACATTAAACAATAGCGATCAAAGTTATAACAACAAAACACAGAAAAATAAAAATACCAATCAGGAAGAATTATGTGCCAACAGACATTGTCAAGGAGATAATGATAAAGTTTTCACAGTTAGCTTGAAAATATCTTTGCCGGAAAAAGCACAATCCTTTGGAAATAGGGGTAAATATGCATATTTTTTTACTTTATATTCACGTATTTATTCATTTCGCATATCCAATAAATAGATAATAATACATACCCCGGAAAAGATGACGACAATTCTGAGCCATCAATTTCCAGTAACTTGGTGTTAGAAAAAAGGAAAAGAAAGCTACATAAGCGGCAACATTTAATACCTAGCTCCATTCGGTTAAATAATTAAAAAATATTTTATTCTTGAACCCAATAAATATTTTACACAAAATATGTAATGCCATACTAACGATAAAACTACCATTTAAGAAGTATTATGTGCAGCTAAGTTATATACATTTGATAAATATATTTTATTTAAAAAATGTTTACAATATTATCCTATAAAACCATTTTTGGATGAGAGAATTTTGAGATACACATGTCCAACAAGTTAGCAGGGCAATTTGCAAATATTATTTAGGATTCGCTTTCTACGCTGCTGGAAAACGCTTGGCAATAATGCAATCTGAGCAAAGTGATAAAAATAATGAAATTAAGGTATGCTGTTCCAAAAACACATTTTAATACCCTAAAATACCAGTTCGCATGCTTGATGTTTCAATGTGATTACATGTTTAAGATATATTCTGTATCATAATGAAAGTATATTCGGTAATTACTGTTAAATGTTCTTTATTCTAATAATAATAATATAACATATTAGTTTTTTAATATAGAAGCACCAAGTGTCTTCCAAAATGAACTATGAACTTATAAAGTGAATGGTATATACTATGGGCATTTCCAGGATAGCGAACGGTACATTCGTACGACGTAATATGGAAAATGTATAACTCAAATGATCATTTTCCGAATTTTTTTTTGCACGATTTATATATTTTACCAGTATTATTTGTATACTTATCGTTTTAAATTATTGTTAAATAAATAATAGTTTAAAATAAATAATAGCTTAAGAAAACCGAAATAAAAAGAAGAAAATAATTTATAATTACAAACAAAGTTATTAAGTTCAGAGCAATAGTATATAATTATCAACAAGATCACTAAATTAAAAGTTAAAAGCGTGGGGTGCATCTATAATCAATGTTACAATTATTCTAAGGGCAACTACCTGTATGGGGAAAATTATGAAAATACAGAAAAATCCTACAAATAAAAATATCTCGTCACGTATATATTCAAACGTTGTGCTTAGGAACAGCATTATGTATATAAGTCAAATGACAAATTCACAGCAATAATCGAACTGAATACATGTTAAAACAATGATTGATATAATTAATTACAGAAAAAAAACAGGTACTTGGCGCGAGATACTACCGTGTCTACGGATGCACCCCACGCTTTTAACTCTGAATTTAGTGATCTTGTTTATAATTATATACTTTTGCCCTGAATTTAATAATTTTGTTTGTAATTATAAATTATTTTCTTCTTTTTAGTTCGGTTATTAATAAAAGGGTGTTTTTTTAGTTCTTTTAAACTATTATTTATTTTCTATTTTTTAGTGTGGTTACCTATAAAGGCGTTTTTTACACCCTTGCAGGGTATTATAATTTCTGTCAGAAGTTTGCAACGCAGTGAAGGAGGCACCTCCGACTATATAAAGTATATATATACTTGATCAGGATCAACAGCCGAGTCGATCTAGCCATGTCCGTCTGTCCGTCTGTCCTTCTGTCCGTTTCTACGCAAACTAGTCTCTCAGTTTTGAAGCTATCTGAATGAAACTTTGTAGTTAGCCTTCTATATACTCTCACTCGTATATATGTCGGAACGGGCCGGATCGGACGATATAGCTGCCATAGGAATGATCGGAAAATTTTTACAAAAAAAAATTTTTACTTTTTCAGTTTTCAATAGAATTGGATCAAATTTGAGATATAGCCATTTTACTATACTCTACAATTTTGCATAAAATTTTATGAAAATCGGACTACTATATCATAAAGCTCCCATAGGAACGATCGAAAAATTAATAAAATTAAAAATTATAACTTTTTCGCTTTTCAACAGATTTTCATCAAATTTGAGGTATAGCCATTTTATATAAGTCATAAATTTTGTGTCAAATTTCATGAAAATCGGACGACTATATCATATAGGTGCCATACAAACGATCGTTTGATGTAGAGGAAAAATGCAAATTTGTGAATGTAAAAATGCAAATATAATATGTATAGGTGAATGAAACGAATGCAGGTATTACTTCATTTTAACACAAATATATATAATTTATATTGTATGGATTCCTATTCATAGAAGTTCTATCTGCAAGGGTATATAAACTTCGGCCTGCCGAAGTTAGCTTTCTTTCTTGTTTTTTTTTTTTAATTTTCTAAGCTATCAGTTATTTTTCGTACTTTAGTTCGATTTATCAATAATCAATTTTTGCGAACATGTAATTATGAAATATCTTACGAACTATTTCGTAATCTCATTATTTCATTTAAGACCTCTTTGTTGCATGGGGTTTTTCCTGTTAACTTTGAGCAATCTAGTTCTTCAATGCAAATACCGTCTTAGGTTCTTACACGACTAAGTGCTACATAAGCTTGTCCAGCAGGCATGCACAGATTGCGCGCTAGCTCTGTCTCTCTTACTCCTTTACGGACGTTCTATAAAAAAAGAGAATTTATCTATCCTGACGATCCTAATCAGGATAATGAAAATTTTTTATCAAATTATTGCATTGTCATCGGTCCTTGAGAAGTATGCAAAGTTTCAAGCTTATCAGACATTTGGTGATATATAAAAGCGTGTTAAAAAGGTACCGAAAGGAATATCATTCTGATTTTTTGTTCAGGCGGGTACTATCATAAGAAAAAAACTCGAAGGGGAAATGTAACGGTTTGCAGAATGCAAAAGTTAAATAGTTGCGTTTGGCGAAATGTGTGAACCGAAATGAATAAATCGTATATATTTTAAAAGCAAAGTTGGAGGGCAATTTCATTGCTAACACATCTATTTTATTTTAAAATCTTCTTCAATTTGAGATATGCTGTTCAATACCTTATATCTTTTATATGGTCGCAGATGACTAATCACTGTGTTGCAAACTTCTGACTGAAATTGCAAGGGAATAAAAAAATAGTACCTAAAGTAGATGAAAACATAGTGAAAAAAAAACAAAGTTCATTTGTTTTTAATAATTTACCGATTGTTCCTGTCGCGGATATATAGTGAAATTTATTTTTGAGTCGAATTAATGTTTCGTGAGTTGACTAAGAACAACGCTGAGAATAAATTTTACAACGGGGATGTTGGTCTATTTATGTACTTAATTCATTCGATATCCGCTTAAGACTAACTTAAGGTTGTAATCCGGCTGCAGCTCGGGGTCTCTGCTTGATCGCAGCACTTCCGCTTAAGTGCCGGGTCAGCATTTGATATCCGGCCGTAGTGATCATTCGCTGACCGAGTGTTCTGGCTGGTGTTCGACAGCGCTCAGAGAGTGGAGTCGGCAGTTTCCAGCCGGATTTTATTGCGACGTTCCACGGTCAACGGAAATTATGATGAGCTAAAAATTTTGAAAAATTATAATTCAAGTTTAGGCGACGTGACTCTGGAGACCATACCTTCGCCTAAACGGGATCGGTCAAGGGTCTTTGGGGACTAAGTGATTGCATGAATTCTCATCTGCGAGCAGTCCATACCCTTGTCACTACGCAACAGATCTTGGATGTATTGCTAATTCACTTCGTCGCACGCAAGCTGGATAAGAAAACGCGGAATGAGGATTTGTCTATCACTGAGCTATCTACTTGGGATTCAATGGAGTCGTTCTTGGAGAGGATGTGTAGGAAGATGGAAAATTTTTTCCGTTTTTTTGTAACTTGAGTCCAAGTCTTCGATTTAAAGAAGCAAAGAGTTTGCACCTGTGCCTCAACTTTTTGCGCAAGGGGCATAGTTTGCAGTAATGCAAGTCGATTCACTGCAGATATTGTCGCATGAAGCACCACTCATTATTGCATTGCATCAAGACCCATTCATACCATCCACCTCAGTCTCATAACCATCATCCAACCCACTCTTAAGCTCTCAGCCATCAACATCCAATTTATTAGCATTAGTATCATGCTTACATTCATCATTACAACCTGATCACCATTCATCAAACCTTCCACCAAAACCCTCAAGCCCGGCGAACTCCGTTCTGGAGTTTCATGTAACATTTCGTTTTTTGTTTGTTTATATTTGAAAATAAAAAAATATATTTTTTATCACAAATGTAATGAATTAATTTCGATTACAAAAAGCATTATACGTGTCCGCAAATTTCCCGTTTAATTGAGGTGCTCTTTGGTAAACCACATTTTTATACCCTTGCAGGGTATTATAATTTCAGTCAGAAGATTGCAACGCATTGAAGGAGGCACCTCCGACTATACAAAGTATATATATTCTTGATCAGGATCAACAGCCGAGTCGATCTAGCCATGTCCGTCTGTCCGTCTGTCCGTCTGTCCGTCCGTCCGTCCGTCCGTCTGTCCGTCTGTCCTTCTGGACTATACAAAGTATATATATTCTTGATCAGGATCAACAGCCGAGTCGATCTAGCCATGTCCGTCTGTCCTTCTGTCCGTCCGTCCGTCCGTCCGTCTGTCCGTCTGTCCTTCTGTCCGTCTGTCCGGCTGTCCGTTTCTACGCAAACTAGTCTCTCAGTTTTGAAGCTATATTAATGAAACTTTGTAGTTAGCCTTCTATATACTCTCACTCGTATATATGTCCGAACGGGCCGGATCGGACGACTATATCATATAGCTGCCATACGAATGATCGGACAATTTTTACAACAAAAATTTTAACTTTTTCAGTTTTCAATAGAATTGGATAAAATTTAAGATATAGCCATTTTACTAAACTCTACAATTTTGCATAAAATTTTATGAAAATCGGACTACTATATCATATAGCTCCCATAGGAGCGATCGAGAAATTAATACAATTAAAAATTATAACTTTTTCGGTTTTCAACAGATTTTCATCAAATTTGAGGTATATCATATAGGTGCCATACAAACGATCGTTTGATGTAGAGGAAAAATGCAAATCTGTGAATGTAAAACTGAAAATATAATATGTATAGGTGAATGAAATGAAAGCAGGTATTACGTCATTGTTTTTTAACACAAATATATATAATTTATATTGTATGGATTCCTATTCATAGAAGTTCTATCTGCAAGGGTATATAAACTTCGGCGTGCCGAAGTTAATTTCCTTTCTTGTTTTTATTTTTGGTCTGACGCTAATACAAACAAAGCGGATAGTTTCTCATCTCGTAAACACGCAATGTATAACTGTACATGTGAAAAACTATGATTTTCTTAATTTATCCCGCAAACAATAAGCGATTGGCCTTGTTAATTGTCATTGTGAACGCAAGGCGAATTGGAAATTGAAATCGTTTAAAGTCAGTCGGAATCATTGGTATTCGAGAAATACATATGTACATACATTTTTACCCTCGTACTTTCTTGCTTCAATCAAATT